TTAAATACAAGAATGTTGATTAGAATATTTTTATACACTCGACTATTGTAGGAGTTGGTTACTTTCCATAAGGCATACTTTAGCCTGCGGTAAGCAAGGTTTCTCACTCGACAATTTCAATGAAATCATGAAGATTAGCTTCCTTTATTCTTATTATGTCCATTTTTGAGAATTCCATTTTTGAGAATTATTTCCATTTTTGACAAATGCCCATCTCACCATTCAATTGAAAAAATTACACTTTCGGAAATTACATTAATTATAATTTCTGAAATGCAGCTTCAAATTATTATTTGAAATACGTTTAATGGAAAAGCATTATTCTCTACTCTGATATTCCGAAAGTCTCATTTTCATTCTAACATTCGAGGAACGTTCAATTAAAAGAACGCAAGAATATTAATTTCATTAAAAACATTTCCTTCAAATTTTTATAGTACTGTTGTAATTAATTTGTCAATGAAAGTAACATATAATACTGTTTTACAACATAGTATATGAATTTGATGATAGTGTTAATTTATATTATTAGCACATTTCAGGAAAACTAAAGTTTTCAGATTGTGTTCTTTCGACAACGATCGTTTTGGAACTCAATACGAAGCACAGTTGCAATTGTAATACAAATTTTATTATTATATCTAAGCCTTTATTTATATTAAAATGTAACATTACATACAAGGGTCTAATATTATTGTAGATATTAGTTTAATGTTTTTCTGATGATTATTTTGCTTCAAAATTTTGTTAATGTATATTAAGTTTAAAACTTCAGAAAAATATTTGTTCAACAGGAAGTCTATGAAAAGGGTTTTGTAATTGTTAATTATTTGTACGCTACAAAACGTTTCATTGCCCTTATGAAGTGAGGTTTAGAATAACAATAATTCGACTTGTATGCTTGAAGACACTGAAAATGTTTGCGAGTGGTGGTTGAAATGTGCTCTGAATAATTAACTTTTACAATAATTTTCATGAGCGTTACTTTAAAAATTCTGCTCTATTGATAATTAGTAATTTTGTAAAAATCTAACTATAAACAGAATGTCATTCAAGATTGAGAAATTTATTTTAATTGGATCTGGATAATTTAATTTTTCAGACTTATTTTCAAAACTCACCTATCTCATTGCCACGCTCCGTCGACGTGGATTGGGTGTTGCCCATAGAATATGGAGTTGTTTCATCTTGGGAAGTCGAGGATTTAATTTCATACGCCAACGTATGATCACTTAAAAGACCATTTGGAGCTGTTTTTATTGTTGTATCTTGGGCATTAGATGGGCCCGGGAAAATGTCTATTGAATTTTCTTCATTGTGATAATAGTGTGGAACGTACCAGTGATCTTCTGGCGGATTATTATATTCTTCTTGCGGCTGTAAAAGAATCCACATTCTCATATTTCATTCACAAATTGATACAGTGCGTAAGCGGTTTGCATTTCAAGATCAAACTATACATTAAGAAATATTCGTACATCAGACCATGTTCTTCAAAAGCTATCAATAAAACATTTACTACTAATGAACGAACTTAAAGGACAAGAGATAAATGTATACAAGTTATATTTAAATACAAAATAATTAGAATTGAATGGGATCAATGTTCTATCGCCGAAGATCTGAAGCATCAAAGAAAATAAACTCGTATTAATTATCGACTATACAAAAGTAGTTACACTCGTGCAATCTCTACACAGCACGTTTGAAAATATATTCATACTTAGACGCATCTTAGAACGGCAAAGCCGATATGTTGGATCAATATTAAGTTTTAATATTAAAGAACCAATCACAATTAATGACACGTTGCAAGACGTCTGGTTTGATTTAATTTTGATCTGGTTTATTTTCGTCTAAATTTAAAAAGATGTATGTGATATATGGGGGAGAAATATATTCTGCACACTCTTTTCTTGAATTCAAGAATCCCTTCCTATCTCATTTCGTAACTGAATGGAGACTACAAAGTATGAATAATTCGAGGTTAGAAACATTAGAAAACTTCGTTGACTTAATAGAAGACATATTTGCATCACAAAACAAACTATAGATTAGACTGTATTGTGTTGCTTTCAAAATATCAATCCATACCCCCCGGCTCTATTCCTACCACAACTAGAAAAAGGAAAGCTCAACCAAATATGTTTCTATTGAAGCTACATCCAGAAGAAAAACAAGAAGCCATCCTGGCATTTGCTCAATGAATTAAGGAGAAGTGACCTCGTCGAGATGGGGGTCGTTAACCAAGAATTTGATGTTCTTGTTACAGACATTTTTTTAGAATTATACTGTACAAATATGAACTAATGCATTATATATCATTGTTAAAATGAACATTATTTTCTTATTCGACGGCCAGTATCTATATATTGTCCATTCTGTTAATATATATCGCTAAGACAGTAGTGTCAGGCGATCGCGGATCGAAGGATCGCGGTTTCGAATCCCGGCTGGGGCATGAATGTGTTTGTAATCGTACTTTCACCCCTCATCATCATCTTATCACTTCATTAAAGAAGGATTAATAATTCCCTGTGCGAGCAGGAGGCCCTTGCTCTTAATGGGATGTGCAGTAGGCTAGTAAAAAAATTATAAAACAAAAAATTCTGTATATTAATATATGAAGAGAAAACTTTGTACACTATTTTAATCTTATTGTGAATACGAAGGAGTGTGAAGTTTGGCACAGATAAAGTTTATATGGTGAAGAAGTGAAGAAGTGAAGAAAGAAGAAAAAAA